TTACTTGCTTATCTGCGCTGCTCGCTTATTAACCACGTTATCTTATATCTTCTAAATTCTACTTATATGTTTATAAGAGAACTATCTACTATTCATTAATACGAGTATAGAGTAGCCGCTACTATTTCTAAAACCGGTTAGCGAAGTGGTACGTGTGTGGCTTGTGTAACTCGCCGGTGTCACGCCAAAAAAAAAAAAAGAACAACAAAGAAAACAAAACACAGACGCTGTCCTTGGATGTTGAACTATTTTCCCTCATATGTGACAGCCTGCCTGCGTAGAACATCGCCCTGCAACCGATAACTCGCGCATCATCCGTTGCTTGTGATTCAGAATCAGTGCCGACCACCAAGCTATGGCTAGCCATATTCAAACTGACGACCCCTTTAGCAAAAATGTGCGCCGTTTACGAGCTGACTATGAGCAGCGTCGCCTCGCTACCAATCTTTTCCCCCCTAGCGGTCTACCAGTTCTCGAGCTACATCTTGAGCGCGGCGACAAGTCTTCCATGACGTTCTGGTATGACGACGGCACCAAGCTTGGCCAATGCGTGCGCATCTTTGACGTTCCCGGAACTCTATCTGGCGATATCCTCAGGCTCCACCGCAACTTGCCGGCCATGTCTGGTCACTTTGAGGTCGACGGTGATGACATACGCCCACTGAACTGCTGTTTAAAGCATCCCGAGGCTATAGCGGACGACTCTGAGGACGTGACCGAGCTCATTTCCAAGCTTCCTCTTGTCTCTGTCAACCCAGCGAAGCACTTCGTAAAAAAGGCCAAGTACCGAAGCGAGGTCGAGAATCTAATCAAATGCCAAGGCGGCTCTGTACCGGGCCATCCACTTTCTCTCAACGTGATCCAACTTCTCGGAACGTCTCCCGACGGGCAACTTGTCTTTGAAAAGCTATCATCTAGCGCACGCACACTCCATAGCTTCTCCTCCTTGGCTGTCTACAAGAGCTGGATACTACAACTCATTGACGCCTTGCACTGTCTTCACTCGGTTGGCATTGTTCATCGCGACTTGCGCGCCGATAACCTTCTCTTTTCAAACGACGGCCAGCGCCTGGTTGTTTGCGATCTCGAGAGCCGCTGGGGAGAGCGCAAGGCGCCCGAGGTCGCCTTCGAGGGGGGCTTGGAGGACTCGGGGTGGAGCCCTTTATCCGACATATTCGATATTGGAAACTGCATCAAAAGTATGGTCTACGCGAATGGCCCAATCACGCACTTTGTCGAATGGCCTGTACCACCTCCGCTTCAAGCCATCGTTGAAGCGTGCATGCGTTCGAGGCCAGAGGAGCGTCCAACTTTGGCCGAGTTACGTGGCATGGTGGCAAAAATGCCGACGTAAGCAAAATTGGAGTATTTGAATACTTGGCGTCTCAGACAATGACTGTTATTCCACGACTTGGAGACTGGCGGTAGTTAGGGCCTGGGATCTTTAGAGTATATGAAGCAGCAAGTCGCGTTGTGTTCGGTAACTCCAGTAGCGTCAGGCCTGATGCATGTCTCTTCACCTTAAGGCCAGATGGAAACTTGGATTGAAAAGAAATTGCCCATCAGATGCTCGGCCTGCCCAAGCGACGTAGTCAACGGTCCTTTGGTGGGTCTATCAGGCGTAATATGTAGCGAGAGTATAAGGCATTGGTCCCTGGACACGTAGGAACAATACAGATATCTAGGATACATGGAAAATTGTTGGAGGTAACAAATGACTCCGTCGTCAATGATGTTTTTGTTTGCAGATATGCCTTTGTTTGAATCTAAGCTACCTTGTGCTTTGGCTGAAAGTGTAACTGGCACCTGCGAAAGAAGAAAACAAGTTCATACACGAGAGGAAAGCCACGACGACTGATCAATGCTCTCGGTTGCAATATTTCAATCTAAAGCAGCCTCAACTTCTAACCATCGGCGGTGCCTTGGTTTAGACATGCGATCGTGTGCCTTTGATTATGCCAGGTTAACTCCGACACAATGCTTTGTTGGACGGACTTCACATACCTTTATGCGTGCTTGCGCCACGGGTCGTGCGTTGATCGCAATAGATGGCGCAGCTCATGGTGACGGGATCTCCTCGGGCAAAGTCCCAAGCCGTCTGAATTGGCTCGCCTGTCTTGTCATCAGCGGCAATCTCTCGAGTGAGGTTCTTTCTGCCCTCAGTCCACTCGATGATAGCCGGCATCTCCCCCCCTCCATCGATGTGATACAGGCCGAGAATGTCCTGAAGCTTGGCATCCTTGACGATGCGCTGGAACTCGTCGACGAGTTTCGTCGGAGGCTTCCCAGTCCTCCGCAATGTGAATTCGTATGGCTCCCCTGTGGAAAGCCACCGTTCGGGGTAAAAAGTTGGAGCATGCTCCATCAGCTCGGGCTCAGAGACATTGCCTCTGGCCAGCATGATTTCGCCCTCGGCAAGTTTGCAGTGGGTATGAACGAGGCAGAGGCCAAATGCGTACTCATACTGAGCCAAAAGCGTAGCCAAGGCACATAGCGTGGCCTCGCGATTAACAAACTGCTCATCAGCCTCGCCGAGTGTAGGTAGAGTGTTGTAGAGACTAGCGACTTCAGCCATTGTAAGCGCAATTAAGGAGGATGTCTTGCATAAAATGTACTGCGTATGGGGACTGCTTGGGTTCTGCGGAGTGGATGGCTTGGGATTCTCGTGTTGTCGATGGCGCTTCGTTCCCTTATTATATGTGCACTTGATGCAAGAATCTGCGATGTGGGCAAGGCCAATTTGACGAGGAAATGATTCATGCCCGGGTTTAGTTCTGTCCCATTGGCTGAAATAGGAGGATGTTGCAGGGACTTTGGCCGGCCAAGGGTGGACGTGAGTTATTGTAGCACAGATGGCTGCTCGATGGTGTATGCCTGCTGGAGCTGAAGATACCAACACTCTACGTCGCACACCTACGGCCAGTTACTCAATACCCACGTCCATGTTCACTGCCTCGCACAAAAGATACGAAGAAACTCCACACAGACGGCAAAAATTACTTAGCAAAGCGAGGTCCCTCATCTCCATGCTTGGCATATCAGTCCATATGTCACCATGCGAGAAGAGTATCAACTGGAACCCTCCCGTCTGGAACGGACTGCATGGATGTTTTTCGTCAGCATTCCAATTTCTAAAGCATTCGAGATACCGAGTGACATGATAGCGACTCACATCCAGCGAAGGTGCGTCATTATCTTCATCGTGGTACAGATTCCGGTTGCTATTATGGCCGCGATCCTCAAGTAACTCTAGGCAAAGACGAGAAGCCACCGGGCAAGCACCGGGCAAGCCTCATTTATAGTCAAAGGCTGCTGAGTTGATGATGCGCCTCCGTCGGTCATAGGCGTAGAGCCTGTGGCAAATTTTCCTTTCTGAACTCATGTGGAGTATGAATAGAGTGGTAAAGGTTTTGTATGCGCGAGCCCTCCCATCAAATATTGTTTTCGAAGTACCCCGAATCATTCTCGATGGCTGTAAAACAAGGCTTTGCGATGATATAGAGCACTTTGCCTGTTGCAGGCGTCTCCTGACCCGGACTCGTCGCGTAGCTGCGTTGGGGCCTAGTTTAAGCTGCTCGTCAAAGAATTACTGAGACTCATGATTTCATTCTAGTCCACGCTGAGCCCAGCACGGGTGATGAATCTGGCGATTTTCATTCTCACTCGTAGACCCGGGGCCAAGGTAATCCGAAAGGTCGTCTTTTGTCAGGACTGAAATGTCTCGCTCCGGAGGCACGGAGGTGGAGATGAGTGAAAAGTCGTCATGTTCGATATTCATAGGCAGTGGGCAGTTAAAGTCTACGAGAGTGCCAAAGGGATTTATAAATGGAATGACGGCTGAATCTCAATCTCGACTACAGTTGACTACGAGCGTTTTGCGTGTCGTGGAGATGCAGGCGAGCATAATCTGGAATCGAATCCAACCACAATTCAACCGCTTGCAGCCATTTGTGGAAGATTTTCCGAAATTGATGATCTTCTTGATCGGTTTTCCATGGAGTCGGCATTTGACTTTTTGCCCCCCTTTCTGTCTCTGCTTCTTCGTTGCCTTTTCTGCCGTGTTCCAAGCTGCAAAGCTGCCCTATGAGTAAGCCGACGTCAAAATGCACTGGTGGCGTCGGAGCCCAAGCAAACAATTCTAGCCAGTCACGGGCGCGTCTCACACCGATTCCGATTCGACCCCTCGGCCTCGGCACTAGTCGTTGATCCGTTACTTGCCAGGACTACACATGATCTTGAGATTCGGGACGCTGATGACTCTATGCATCATTTCCGGCCAAAAGCCGGGCCTAATAAGTAGCCTCTAGGGCCAGAAGGGGATCGAGCGCGGCTGCATTCTCGGAGGCTTTTTTGATGAGTTGCATCGCGCAGTCTCGGCAATGTTTCGTGGGGAGCCTGGCAAGCGATATCCTCACACCCTTCCTGTCCTTATTCAGCGAGCAGTGGCGGAGATGGCAGTAGGCAATCATGTCCTTGTAACGCAGCAGCCACTCCAGCGAGTCAATTTTCCCTTATCCTCGGGGCATTGTCCTAATAAAGCTGCCAGCAGCTACCCATCGCTAGTCGGGACAGCAGCAGTTGATATCATAAGCGCGCCGTGGCTACGGTAAAAACTGCTCCTCCTCTCAGTAAAATATCTGCGATGCAGTCCAATACCAGGCCCCAAACAGATACGCAACGGGCAAAACCGTGGGCGAGAGCCCCCTCGCGCAGTACCAGGTTGGCAAGGATGGCTACAGCATTTACGATGGCGACGACGGCTACGGTGGTAACAAAGGCAAACATGGCAGACGTAACGGGCAGCACGAGTGCGCAAGCGACGTTGATGGCGAGTTTCTGTATTGGAGGGGTAAACTATAACAGGCACCTTTGTCAACGGCAGTGACCATTGGCCGCCCCTCCTATTTTTGGATGCATGATTGCACAGACAGGCGATCCTAGCGGAAACGGAAAAATTGTTAAGAATAGATGGTGGCAGTAATAACCGGCAGTCCCCAGCCCTCCCTCTGGCGGATGGGGAACGACAGAGAGCCCTCTCTTTTGCTTTGACAGATTTGAAAGGTTCTGCCGGCGCATTCTTTTTCCCCGGCTGGTCCTTCACTACCCAACCCCCAGGTCTGCAGACAGACTGCAGAAGCTCGCATGGGAGGAAGCACGGCACGCCGCCGCGAGAGACAGATACTGACTGATATATAGCGATGTGCGCCAAGACACAGGTCAAGCAGGTGGCAGGGGGTTGGCAGGGCACCTATACGGTTATACCTATGCAGACACGTGAACAAGATGCGCCTGGCGCACCGACCCCAGCTTGGCACCTAATTAAAATGTCTTGGGCGTGCGTGTGATTCTGTGCGTATGATTCTGTGCGTAATAATAATAATGCATGTCTTTGACGGTTTTCAGCAAGTGGGAGGAACGCGGCCAACTTGTTAGCGTCCAACAACGGCGTCTTTCGACCGAAAGAATTGTGCGTTGATCTTTTCATTAAAGATTTTTTACTTGTTTTTTTTCTGTTTCCAAATTTTCAGTCCCTGTTTTCTTTTACAGTGTTCCGCGCTGTGGGCGCCTTACGCACACGGGTCCGGCCGGTACACTTGCCCGATTCGGACATGACATCCCAGACGGCGCAAGGGGCTAACTAAAATAACTATTCATATTTGCTAGACTTATGTACTAACTAGAGGAGGGGAGGGGGAGGGGAACAAGAGATGAGGGGCGGACTGGAAAAAAGATGCCAGATGCTGCAGAGGCGAAAAGATTGCAATTATATCCTAGTGGGACGGACAGTCCAATGCCAGCCAGTCCGGGCAAGATCAGCACGGGGTCTTTTGCTCCTTTTTTTTTTTTGGCTTTTTTTTTTCCGGTTTCTTGATTCGCGTGGCCCCCTCTGATGATGACCTTCCTCTTGTGAGTGTGGTGTGTGCAAGGGGAGAGAGAGTTGTGCGTCCCCGTCTTCACATGCACAGTGAAAGCTACCTGAAAAAAAAAACAAGAAAAAAGAAAAAAATAAAACCAAGCCCACTGTGCGTTGCAGGGATCGCGGCTTGGAAAGACAAAAGTTCAATGGTTATTAATAAAACGCAGTCGGAGCACACGGCCAAAAGAAGCATGATATGGAGGGTCTAGTTTGCCCAACGTGATATCAGCTTTCTCAGAGACAGGACGAGAATTACTAACTCGCAGTGTCTCTACTCAACTTAGCTTCTTTTTCTTTTTTTCTCCTTTCCGCTACTGTTGATTCCGCCCACTAACTATCCAAGCCACCTAATTATTTTACAGATTTCGCCCCGATGGGACTAACTAAACCCTGCTTAAAGAATGGATCCAGCGCGCTGGCTGTGGTGCCAGGCATGTCTTCAGGCCCCCGGCGGTAGTAGCTGCAGTAGCCTGTATTTCTTAACGGCACAGAAATATCAAGTGTGAAGAAAGTGTGAGAAAAAAAGAAGAAAAAAAAAAAAAAACTCTCCAATCAGACGGCGCGCACACACACAAAACAACACACAAAAGGTCTCGATCTGTATAGGTTGACGCGCCTGCCCCTCCTCACTGGGCCTCGCCCTCCCCCCTCCACTCCGGGGTCCGTTTACTCCGAGGCCTGCTGCTTGTTTCCAGCTGCATCGGGTCGCATTTTACTTGGTAGAATGCGGTTTCTATTACAAGCTACAAGGGTACCAGTGAAAACTTGTACAGCAATGCCTGTCAATCTGCAAAAGACTTCTTATCAGCCGCCTCAACGTCACAGCTTGACGATGCAACGGATGTAACGAATCATGTAACATCAATATCAAAAAAAAAAAAAAAAAAAAACGTCTGCTTGACAGGCTTTCACTCCATCCCTCTCTCCCTCCCATCCATTTCGCCCCTCTCCCTCCTCCATCCACACCGGGCTGGCCTTCCAGGGGAGGAGCGGGCGCACCGGAGCCGATGGAGCTGGCCCCCCGGTTGTAAGCCAAGTTGACCCAAAACGGCGGTCCGTAGGGGAGGGCTAATAAGTTGATGTGTACATGGGCTGTGGCTGTGGCCGCTACTGCACAAGAGTCTCGATACCGTGCCCGCCCCCCTTCTTCCATTCTTCTTTGCCAAGCTTTCTTGGTATCGGGAAAATCGTTCCTTGCTCTTACACCTCGCCACCGGGAAGCTCTCTTGCATCGTCGATAAACAAACATCCTGGATAAATCATTCCCAATATTGCAGCGTGTCTCGTCAACTGACGCAATAATAAAAGTCTCATATCAGGTATATTGGTGCCGACATATTTCGACCTGAGAAAAAATGCATTGCGACTTATAGCCCCCGGCAGACAGTTGCGGCAACAAAAGTGACGCAACCCCAGATCGGCAAATCAGACCATTCGACCACTATCCAACTTTGGCCTGCATACCCGGAGGAATATAAAAACGACAAAAGTCAAAGAAAGAGTGAAATTTATTCCCAGGCACAAACAACATCCAGTGCGTCTGGACTCGCGGGACACCTCTTGCGATTTCAACTTGGACAAAACCATTCACACAGACGCGACCACCCTTGTTCCTCTTGCCAACGTGTTGGCTGTCACTGCGTTGTGGCTACGGGACAGACGAGCTCTTCCAACTACGCTACTGATTATTTGCTAGCAACTCGATATCAGTGGTCGCCTGATCTTGTAACACATCCCGATTTCGTCGAAAGGGGTGTAGTTGCGTCTTCATTGCGTGTTTGGTGTCAGTGTTGAAAGAATGCCACGCAGCATCCACTCCAATAGCCGCACTGTATCAAGTGCAGCCAGTGTTGTATAATGCGCATAGCAATTGCCGGAGGACGCGGTCTTGGGTATCTGCTGGCAGCGGGCCTGTCGCGTGCCGCGAGTGCACACAATCTCATTGTGCTGTCGCGAACGGTATGTTGGTCCAGGACTGTGCTGCTCGTCTCAGCATTCATGCCACAACGCGTTGTCTCTGTTCTCATGGGCCCTGTAGGCTAACATGCATGAACAAATATCAAAGCATAGGAGAGAGATCGAGGCCCTTCGCATTCAGGTTCATGTGGTAGATTACATCAACATGGAGATGCTGCGATTCGCCTTGAGCGGCATCGACCTCGTCATCTCCACCATTTCAGGGCAAGCGCAGCTGAACCTCATCAACGCTGCTGGCCATGGCCGAGTGAGCTACTTTGTGCCGTCCGAGTTTGAAGGGAGCCTCACGAAGCGCCCGCCCGGCCGCTCTGATCCCCTCGACCGCGGCGGCGCTGCGGCGCTGACCCTCTTGCGTCAGTGGGCCGACACCGGGAGTCGCATGAAATGGACAGCCTTTTCATGTGGCATCTTTATGGAGCGATTCCATCCTTATGGGCTGGCAGCGAGCTTGGGCATCGGTGTCGGCGAAGGCGTGGGCACGGCGGGCAGTTATGTGGCAGACATCAACAACGGCATTGCAGAATACACATCGAGGGGTGCAGATGGACATTCGGTAAAGATTTGCTTGACGAGCGTGCTCGACGTTGTCAGGTTTGTCATTGCTGCGATAGAGCTCGATCCCTCAACTTGGCCGGCCGAGTTTACCATGAGAGGTGACAGACTGAAACTGACAGAGGTGGTTGACGCCATTTCTGCCGCTCGAAATGGTGAGAGTTTTTTTTTTTTCTCTTCTTTTATATATATATATATATATATTTCCCTTTTCAGGCTTGAAATTCTGATAAACAAAACTGACATGGCTAGTTGCATTCCAATCCACCAACTTGAACTACCAAGAGTTAGCATCGCAGATTGCCTACAACACCGAGATTGGAAACTACAGCCGGGCAGCCTATCTTCAAAGGAATCTGGAAACGGCCAACGGTCGCTACGACTTTTCACGAGCGTCGTTGAACGAGGCTGTCGACAGGAGCAGACGCATACGCGTACATCCCGTGAATTTTGCACAATGGCTGGCAACCGTTTGTACTTGATTCTCGCCGCTGCTTCTGTAATTGGCAATGAACTGGGGTATCACACTGGGCAAAATGACGGGACAAATAAAATTGAACTGGACACTGAAGAAACATGGTATTCAGCGATCCCCAAGTTATTTGAGTACTGCATCTATTGAATCAAGATTGATATTGATATTGACACATCCATCATCGAGTTTCAACCTTGCCCTTCAAACAACACCGCCCAATGCATTGGCCAATACTCTTCTGTAAAAGGCAGAAATACACAATGTTTGTGACTATACCTGTTGCTCCCTAGTAGCGGGCTCAGCGGGCTCAGCGGGCTCAGCGGACTCTTCAGCAGCAGCAGAAACAGTAGCGCTCGGCTCTGGCTCTGGCGTGTCGTCGTACTCTTCGCCAAACTCGGACACGACCCAGAGGCAAAACTGCTCCCACTGAATCTGCCACTCCTTTAGCCGGTCGGCCTTGACGCCGTCGCCGAGGCTGGCAGTTTTGATATTGTTCATCCACGCCTCATTGTCCTCGTCGGCGAAAGCGGACCAGCGGACGCTGTTCTCGGCGAGACTGGCGAGGCCGGCGAGGCCGAGATTGTCCCAGCCCTGGAGGGCCTGCCAGAAGTCGTGGGACATGCCGGCAGTTCCCTGACCCATCATGGCGGGGTCGTCGTTGCAGAGGCAGCAGGAGACGCCGCGGGCGAGAAGGGCCGGGAGGGGGTGGGCGGCGACGGAGCCGCAGAGGCGGAGGACTTCGTTGGAGATGGGGCAGGCCTCGACAAGGATGCGTTTCTCCTTGACCATGTCTATGAGCAGCGGATGCTTGTAGAGGCTATAGCCGTGGCCGAGGCGGCGGGTGCCGAGGAGAACGGCGTCAAAGAGGTTGCAGTCGGTGGCGTCACCGTCGCCGAGCGTCTCGCCGGCGTGGAAGAAGAAGGGAATATTGACACCCTCTTGGGCGCACTGCTTGCGGAACCAAAACAGTTCGGGGAGGAGGTCGCGAAGGGTACGGCCGCGGTTCTCGTAGCCGACAACATCGTAGCCGAGGACGAGGTGCGGAAAGGCGAGCTTGGTGGTGATGCAGTGGTCCATGTCCTCGATGATGGGCCGCGTGGGGAGCGAGCGTAGCGACGTCCAAATGATTCCAAGGCCCCAGAAGCCCTCACCTTCGGGAGACGCTTTGAAGCGGGCGATTTCGTCGTCAATCACCTCAAAAAGGTGGATGTAGTCGGGCTCGGGCTTCTCGTGGCGGTCGCGGCAATAGTTGATGGGCCAGGCGAAGCGCAGCTCGGCCCAGCGAACGCCGTCGGCCTGCAGCTGGCGCATGAGGGCGCGCAGGTACAGCCGGACCATGGGCTCGTACGTCAGGATGGTGGCGGACGCGATGAAGCAGTTTTGAAACTTGTCCCAGATGGCGTCGACGCCGTGGTGGTGCAGGTGAGAGTCGTGCGCGTGCAGCGTGCAGCGGCTCGCGAGCCACTTCACGAAGCCCGGGCGGCCGCCCTGCGGGAACTCGTCGGCCATCTTGGCGAGGAGCAGGAACCGATTGCTCTTGTACTCGGCGCTCCACACGGAGCTTCCCTGGACGCGCTCCTTGGCGCGGTAGCGAAAGGTGACGGTGCCGCGCTCGAGAGCCTCGGGGCCGTCGAGCGGGCGGTCGCTGGCCATGTGGACGCCGGGCAGACTGAGCAGCTCGCCAATGAGGTACTCAAAGTTGACCATGGCCTCGAGGTGGGCGTGCAGCAGGGAGCCCTTGGGCATGCGGCGGACGACGCGCCAGAGCTTAGTGCGCTCCATGCGGTCCTTGCCCATGGAAAACATCATGGCGGGGAAGACGGTGGCGTGCGTCTCGCTGGCCAGTTTCTCTTTAACATCGCTCGTCCATGTCGTCTGCAGCTCCTCGGCGCGGATGCGCTCGACGACGCGGCACGCCCGCTTGGCAATGGGGGAGAGGGACTGGCGGAAAGCGGCGTCGGCGCGGCGCGTCTTTTCTTGGGCAATGAGGTTGGCACGGCCGGTCATGTACTGCTGCAGGAACGGGTCGCTCATGGAGGGGATCTCCTGGGAGATTTCCTCCCAAACGTCGTTGGGCATAGCCATGGCTGGGGGCGGGTGGGCGGTTGCGAGGATGTATTGATTCGTTGACCACTCGATGTGTGATGGTAATATGGGGGCCAGAGTGATACAGGCAGGGCACGCGGAGTCGGGCTTGGGTGGCTCGGCCGGTCCCGAAAGGTCCGTTCGAGGCGAGCGAATATCTATGCTCTTCCTAGCAAACGTATAGTCCGCAAGGCTGTGAGGCTGCAGAGTGGCTGCAGGCTGTCACGGCTCGAGACGGCCCAATGCGGAGGTGCACTGAACGGGCAGACCACACCACTCAATAGTAGCCAGGCTTGCAGGAGCTTCGAAGAACTTCGAGGACGCTCAACTGGAAGCTCGGTCGTTCATTCCAGAGACTCGGCAGTTGGCAAGTTGTTGATTTGACTCGTGTAAATGTCGGATGAGCGATCAACAAGAGGCAGGGCAGCCAGTAGAAGTTGGTGGTTGGCATGGCGGGGTGACAGAGGTGAGGATGGTGGGGTCAAGCGACGTCACAGCGGGTTGTCGGTCTTGCCTAGCGGACAGGCCATTCGTGGAAAGCTGGTAGGAGAATTCACTGGAAAATTCAAAATAAAGTCTATACCGCTTGTGCCATTATTCCATCTTACAAGAAAGAAAGCGTCTTACAATTCTCACAGAAGGCCGTGCTGACCCCATTTACGGTGAGCCGTTTGTAGCAAAAGTGTTTTGCCACACGTGATGATGCTATGGCTGTACCAGGTTCCGCCAGCATTACAGTGGTCGCACAGCGCGCTTCAGTGTCCTTCATGGGCGTCACGCCGCTGAAGGTCCCCTGAAGCCTCGCTCCAATTACGGCGGGGAAGACTGCTGATCCCCCTTGTATTACTCTATTTTAGCGTCCGCAGTCACCCGCAAGGCCCGTTGGCTCCCCTGGCCACTGGCGCCTGTAACATGTCGATTTGACTCGACGCCACATCACATCGCCAATTTCCCCTCAATTCCTGCTTGCCTCTTCTATTGGTTTTTGAAGTCGTGCATGCATGCAGTTGCTCACATGTTCTTGATCCCTCGAAGCCGTGGTATTACTCTCATGTCATTCAGAGAGCCTGGTTCTGCACGCATACCTGGCTGCAGACTTGGCCCAACATCTGCATGTCTTGACCGTTGCAGCAGGATGGACAAGCCATCTTCACAAGGCTCTACATACCCTTGTTGCTTGCCAGCCTCTCTTGCTTATATCACAAGCAGTAGATGCTTGTCGTGGAGGAGATCCTTTTTACTATCGCAAGCCACGTTTGGTTAAACCTTCCGGGCCCCATGTCCGAGGCTATGCAACAATCGACCTTGCGTGCTACCAGCGACTGGACTAACTTGGCAGAATTGGCCACTCTGGTTCTTTTTCTCCGGCAAGAGAGGGGTCTATAACAGTTCTTATTATTTGTTTTATCTTGCTCGGTGACTAGTAGACTCGGAATAGATAATTGTATAGTCGTGTTGGTGACTTGGCACATCGTGACTCGCCCACATTTTTGTTGCACCACCCACCACCCACTACCGCCGCCGCCGTCGTCCCCATTCTCCATGTCTTTATCCCGAACAAGGTGTACAAACAGGGTTCATTGCTGTCATTTGATGCAGTGTGACAGCAACTCTAAAGTTGTCGGGGTATTCCTTTGATCCCGGGCATGCGGGACCAGCCCGTGTCTCAGAGTTCTATTCGTGCCACCGTGTAAGTCGAGTATATAAAGTCCCCTATGGCCGCCCTCCCTCCTCTAGCATCTATGCCCTTTCCCTTTCCCACCATACACTCAAATACATCACCAGAATCATGAAGCTCTCCTTTTCTCTCGTTGTTTCCTCTATGCTTAGCACTGCCCTTGGTACTGTCATCCCGGCCAGGCAGGTAGACGACCCCAAGTCCTGCTGCTTCAACCTCCAAGACACCACCAGCGGCAAGCATGTCCGGCAAGACGCCCATACCGGCGAGCTCTTCGTCGACGATTCCAGCCTCCCCGAGGGCCGGTACTGCATCAACCAAAAGATCAAATCCAAGGTGCTCTACGACCGCCGGAACAACGCCTGCATCCTGACCTCACCTCGCAACTCGGTTGAGTGCCTCGATGGCACCCCAGGCGGCGACACCTGGCAGCTTGTCCGGAACGTCGGCGAAGACATTTTCTTGGAAGACTACGGCAGCATCGATTTCAACGTCTGCAACGTCAACGGTCGGCAGCAAATCTTTGGTGCCAAGCCCCCGGGTGGTCTTGACTGCAAATTGACGCACCTCAGCGCCGACAACCGTGCCGGCCAGTGCAACTCGTACGCTGGGGGAGCCAAAGTCATGCCAATTTCATGACTTGACACTACTGACACTATGATCCTCTGTACTTAGAATTATGGAGAAATACATTTATATGATATCTATACCTTGCTTCACTTGTTATACAATCTAAGACGAGGTCGTGGCGAAAATCGGTGTTGCCTTTGTCACCCCCACCGTAGACATACATTATGTTGCGTCTAGTACATAACTATCTGATGACGCAGTCATGATACCAGAATCTGTGTTATTTTGGATCTACATTTATTCTCACTGCCTATTCATGGTCAAGATCATCTTGTCTTTACAGTTTCGGCGGCGCAGCTCCCGCGTCGTCGGTCCCGTATACAATAAGCGCATCCTTGCGAAGCTCAGCAGCTGTGTCTTGCCTCTTACGCTTCTCAACACCATGATATTTTTGCTCGATGAAACGCGCAAAAATTTCCTGCGCCGCCATGTCTCCATCACTCGCCGCATCAACATGGAGGAGAAGCGAGACGAGTATATCACCCAGCGCCCAGACTAGGTCTCTAGCTTCGCCCATGAGATCTGCTTGAGCCGTATTCACAATTTTTGCGCGAAGCGACTCCCATTCTTTGACAGCATCCCAACCCTCGCGGGTCTTGCCAGAGAATGCGGCTGCTTTTCGAATGACATCATCCAGCGCCGCAAGGCACTGCTGGCCTGCCTTGGGGTGCTTCAGAGCCCGGATCGTGTCCGTGCTGAGCACGTCCGTCGTGCCCTCCCAAATTGGCAGCACGGAAACGTCGCGAAAGATTCTCGAGACGTTGAGGTACTCTTGCTCCTCATTGTCCATGTACCCAACGCCACCCAGCGCCTCCATGCAAGAAAAGACGAGCGAGACGCACGGCTTACAGACGTACGCCTTTGTGATTTGACTCAGAACCCGGATCAAAGGCAGCGCCAGGTTCGCGTTTGGCGTGAGCGCCTTCAACGCGGGCGCAACGTCGCCATACTCGCTATTGGGATATTCAGAGACGCCGAGAATGTACGCCGAGTAGAAGCTGAGCATCATGAGGCCGCGGTATTCGCCCGTCATCTTGGCTAGTGTACGCATGTGTAGAGGGTTGTGGATCAGACGCACGCGCGCGCGGTTTCCGGCTCCCACCTCACGCACGCGGGCAAACGCCTTGGCAATGGCCAGCGCACGCCCGACGTATGACACGGCAGACACGGCCGAGTAGACGCGGGTAATGGTCAAGATGTTGCCAATCTCGTGGATCCCCTTGCCCTCCTCCCCCACGAGCCATCCTCGCATATCCTCCAGGACAAGCTCCGCTGTTGGAAGAGACTGGGTGCCAAACTTGTGCTTGAGGCGGGAGATGCGCACGCCATTGAGCTTCTCGCCATGGGGGTCGGTATGGCCGGCCATGGTGGTGGCATGCGGGTCGTGGCGACGCATCGGCGCAATAAAGGCAGACAGGCCGCCGGCGGACGTGCGCGCGAGCAGCACCGTCATTTTAGAGTCCGTCGCCGAGGAGAACCACTTGAAGCCGCTGATGCTCCACGGTCCGAGGGGGATGTCGCCTTGCTGGGAAGCCAGTCCAAACTCCGGGTTGGCCGGGAGCGTGGCCACAGTTTCGGTCAAAGATACGTCGCTTCCGCCGGTTCGCTCCGTCATCCACTGACCGGACGTCCAAGCAACTTTCGGATCGCGCGACGTCAGTCGACGATACGCGTCCTCGTATACGCGGCGCTCATCGGGGGTCAGTTTCGCCGAGAGCGACGGCGAGGTGAGGTGCCGGCGCAAGAGGCACGCTGCGCCGTCCTGCATGGCGGATGGGCATGTGACGACAGCAGAGGACGGCTGCCACAGATGCATTCGCAGGAACTGCAGAGGCCTCGAGAAGGGACCATACGGCGTGTCGTAGCCCGTCGCGACGATGCTGTGGCGTGTTAGTTTGTGATGATACGCTGCACTGCTGAGCGAAGTCTCCTACCCTTTGGATATACCCATGTTCTGAAGTTCTCTCCATCCTTCACCAGTGACGAGCTCACCCGTTTGGTGACCAAATGATGATCGACCCGATCCTTTAATATGGGGTAAGTTGCGGTACGCATCCGAGACCCAAGTAAAAACTTGGTCGGAGAGGACGTCCTGCCCCAGTGCTGCAGCCTCATCCTGCGTCTGGGAAGCCACACTCTTCGGCAAGAACACTAGAAAAAGCCCCATTAGCTATCGCTGCTTCCGCCGCTCCGCCTCAAGCAACGGCAAGGCCGTTGTACGAAACACATACGCTTGAAGCATCGCTTATGGGAATTGTCGTCGTGAAACTGATTCGGCAGCGTCGGCGGCGTCTGGAAAAAGCCTCTGTCGGCTCCAGAAGGATCCATGGTAGAAGAAGTCAAGCGGCCAAGGAATCTTGTGTCGGATATGCTGGATAGGTGCCGGCGTGTGAGAGTGTTCATATGCTTTATACGCTGGGCCAAGGGCGGAATGTACGGGGATGGAGCTGGCCGTTTAGCGCTGGTAACCTCGGCAGGTGGAGCGGTGGCTTCCCCAAACTGCGGAATGGCGCCGCAGGGTGCTATTGATGGCGATATAGCATATTCCTGAATTGGAGATGTGATGACCTGATTGATAGTTGAAAGTCAATGCTGGAGATGAGTTGCTAACCCGGTTGGGTGGAGGCCAACACAAGCAACGAGGGGTCTCACATATCATCTGTTGTGACCGCCCGGTTGGCCACCTGGGTAATGTGAACGAGCAATTGGCTGGCGCTAAATTAAACACGCAAGTCACAAACCGAGTCCTGATAATTGGAAGACTCGGGCAACCATACCAAGCACTTGGCCATAGAGCCTTTCGAGTCTGGCTCTATGAAAGCCCAGATACATGATTATTAGCCGCATCTGTTTGCAAACCTGGTGTGTTCGTAGGCACAGCCATGTTCAACCTAGTCCGTAACGCCGAATGGCCCTATTTTTAGAGGACTCTCCTCGCGAAATCCCTAGTAAACAAAAGATAAAAGGAACTAGCAGTATGGTGCGGGCTCATCGTGGCAGCGTCCTTTCGAACTTCTCCTCAAGGAACATTATGCTGCCCGCTATGGCGAAACGGAATACGGCTGAGCCGTCATCTCGGCGTGTTGGGCGGAAAAGAACGAGCTATTTCAGGGACGCATTGCGGTGCTACGCGAAGAAGGTTCCAACAGCCAGCCGGGTCGAAGGCACCAACAGACCCTCGTCTTATTCCTTCGCAATATAGTCGCTTCTCCATGCGATATCGTCGCCTTACGTCCATGTCGGGATGTCACAGCGGTCAACTGCCCATGGAGAGGCGATGAAATGAAGACGCAGATGCTGGTTGACTGATAGGCCTAGAGCCAATCAAGCGCTGCGGACTGACAAGTAGAGTGGGGTATCCCTCTATAGCTACATAACCCGTATTAAGCGGCCTCCAACTCAACAATCAGACCAGCCAGCCACAGTCGTCTAGGGGTCAGGACACTAGTTTGTGGAGTTTACAACACCGCGAACCACTGGAAACCGAGGTTCGAGTCCTCGCTGCGGCACTTGTCTTTTTTTCTTTTCTGCAACTGTCAATCTCCCACTAGGAGAGGGATGGTGCACATCGTTTGGCCGCAGTCGTCTAGGGGTCAGGACACTAGTTTGTGGAGGATATTTTCTGCGCAAACCACTGGAAACCGAGGTTCGAGTCCTCGCTGCGGCAATTCTTTTTTTTTACTCTTTGCCTTCTATAGTTATACACGTCCTTTTCTAGTCTTCTTTTTACTATTTTCTTATGCTCCTTTTATAGTAGTACACCTGAGGCAGCGTGCGCTGGTGGTGTAGGGAAATGTCCTCTATAACGTCAACCATCTTGGTTGGCTGAGCAGTTGCTAGGGAATTTGAACATGAAAACGACAAGACGCTGCAAACATCAACAAAGAGTCGAAAACGTACGACATCCACTCGTGGAATAATGCATCATCTGTTTGTCCTTAGCAGTACTCGGCAACCCTGAAAATCGAGCGGATCATGATCAATCAAGCTATCGGTGTATTGTAACAGGAATGGCGTATATAATTATTCTGGACATGCAGCGCAAAAGGAAGAGCAGTAGCAGGGCTCTCAGCGAGTGGAGGACTCGGATAGAGGGAAATTCGATTGGATCGGAGTTAGCTGAATGGAACTGACAGCTCATGTGGCTCGAAAGGCAAGGCTTTGCCACCAGCCTTACTTTGGTAGCTCAGCATGCTCAGCTACAGGGTACACAAGTGCTTCCTTTGCTTACCCAGTCGCTTCAGCTGAAGCACAGATGCATCAGAGCCTGGCCTGAGGATCCTGGCGTGGCTCAAATGATAAATACAAGAAAGGTGATCCCAATTCTTGCCACATCTCTTTTATCAAAATTTAACACGAAGCAGCTCATCCATCATGCTCGCTTGTGCGGCTAACGCCTTGTCCGCTCCCGTTATTCCTGGCGCAGAGGTCACGGCGTTTGATGTTGGACTGGTCAAGAACTACAACGCCACGGCATCTCAATATCTCTACTACGGCCATCCGACGGTTGTCGTTGAAAACGCCAGTTTTTGCAACATCACCGTGACATATACCCATCCTGGCGCGAACGACAGTGTTCACGTGGAAACATGGCTTCCTGTCGATAATTACAACGGCCGGCTCCAGTCGATCGGAGGCGGCGGCTGGGTCGCGGGACGATACCCTCCAACCTATCCTGCGATGGCGGGAGCTATCGGCCAAGGCTATGCAACGTCGACCACAGACGCGGGTCTCTTGGTGCAGGCTGACTACGGCCCAGACATTTGGGCTCTGACCAAGGACGGGCGCCCCAATATGCAACTCTTGACCAATTTCGCGTCGCTCTCGTTGAATGAGCAGGTACGTTGGGGTGCGACGAGTTGAGCGCTTCTCTCGGCTTGCGAACGCCCGCTAAAGTAGTTTGGTAGGCTATTGTTGCCAAAGCTCTCATCGAAGCCTTTTACGGTCAGCCTCCAGAGTATTCCTATTACAATGGCTGCTCACAAGGCGGGCGACAGGGCATGGCTCTCGCTCAGCGATATCCCGACGCCTACGATGGCATACATGCAGGCGCTCCCGCCATCTTCTGGAACAATTTGATGTCCTACCTCTTCTGGCCTCAGCTGTACATGAATTTAATCGGCGCATACCCGTATCTTTGCGAGTTCAAGGCCTTGGCGGAGGAAGCTGTCAAGGCCTGTGATCATCTCGATGGCGTGGAAGATGGAATCATTGCGGATGATGGCGCATGCACATTTGATCCGTCATCCGTCGTCGGCCGCGCGTTTCTCTGCGCTGATACCGGCAAAGCCAAGTTGATCTCATCGGAAGCAGCGCAGGTGGCAAATGCCACCTGGTCGGGGCCGAGAACGACGGAGGGGAAGCTAATGTGGTACGGAAGTAACATTGGCAGCCCGCTTTCCGGCTCAGCAATTACTGATCTAACAAACGACATTGGCCCAGCGAGGACTCGATGCTTTCAGAATGGTTCGTGCATCGGCGAGCCACTCGGTCTTGGTGAGGCGTGGATCAAGTATTTCGTGGAGGCTGATCCAACCTGGACATACAAGAACATGACACATGAGAGCTTTCAGAACTACTTTCACAAGGCCAACATGCTATACGACTCTGTAATTGGGACGCAGGATTCTAATTTGAGCGCCTTTCACCGTCGAGGCGGCAAAATGCTGACCTATCACGGCATGGTAAGTGCAAACCGCCAGTTCCATTCCCTGTTCGCATGCTGACACGATCTCCTAGAGCGACCAGATTATTCCTGTCAAAGGCACCGAGCACTATCACAACTTGGTCAGAGAGCAAGTTCCCGAGGTAAATGACTTCTATCGCCTGTTCAAGGTCCCGGGGCTTCTGCATTGCGCTGGTGGACCGGGGGGGCAGCCGACAAATACCTTTGATGCCTTGCGAGCATGGGTTGAGAATGGATCAGTGCCTGAAACCATTTCTCATGCGTACACCACTGCTGCCGGTCGCAAACAGGAGCGTCTTCTATGCCCCTTTCCCATGAAAGCACAGTTGAAAGCCTGTGCTCACTCTGGGAAGAAGAAGACTTTTACAGCCAAGGACTATGAGTGCGTCCAAGGAGACGAGGAAGATCGCTATGGTGTCATGAGACAGCATGCGGACTTTTCATGGACCGCAGTGGCTCCGAAAAGTCAGAGATGATTAATAGAAAATGAGATGGGCCTGATTGTCCAAAGAGAGACTGCCATAACATGGAGTTGATCGTCTCGAGAGAGACTACCTGAGCACTTCTTGCAGAAGGACTATAATATCAAGATGGCCCGCCATTTCATAAGTATCTATCTCTTAAAACTACTTGAGGCCAAATCATCCAGTCTGCCCAGTACTCGCCTAGATAACTTGCTATGGACTGAATCACAATGCGACCAGAGTCTCCAATAGCCCAAAACTTCTTGGCTTTGTATTACGCAAAGAGCGCCAGAGAGCTCTCCTCGTTGACCACGTCGACACTGTTCTGCAAGTCGACCCAGCGATGGCCCGGGAGGCTGCTGGCCTCAGGGAGGCCCTCGGCTGCAGGATCGCGCTCTGCTGAACGGCCGGCATTGGTGTCCCAGATTCAGGCTGGACGCGGGGGTTGGAAGACCCGGTAGCGGCAATGAATAGAAGCATTTTTTTCTTTCTGTCGCGCATTTTCGGCATGCGGGGCGTGCCTCGTCGCATTTAACTTTTCGCTTTTTCGCTCCTTGCAGACCCGACAAGCTGGGCGAGACCTCTTGTGAGACGACCGAGGCTTGGCGCAGCGCCTACTTCCTCTCGGAGTAATGTAGAGAGGTTCGAGTTCGGGAAAGAAGGTGCCGTAGCGAGCCTTGTGGGTTTTGTCGAACAAATAGTCCGCTTTGGTCGTTCGGCCTAGCTGGGATTCAGGTACGAAGATAAGCTTCACCCAGTCCAAACAGGTCCGTGAGATGGCCCACGCAGGCAGCTTTCAGATACTCAAAGTATATAGTATTAAAGGAATCATTTCAATAACGAACCTACCAGCCTAACCAGAAACTAAAATTACTTGAACAGAAAGGTTATTGTATTAGTATTACAGTAAACTCGTTGATAGGCTTCTTATTGCAATGGCGTCCTTTTCACGGACGACGCGCACGTGCAAAAGAGCGCCTTCATACATCATCGATAGCTCCTACTTTGTTGGACTTGGGCGAGCATAAATTTACTACCTCGTCTGCGTATTGATACAGTGATGCTAAGAATAGCTAGCGATCCGTTGGCCGCTAACCCCGTCATGAGCAGTGGACTCGCCAGCCCCGGCGAGCCACCATTTATTTCTGCCAGCGTGAAAGGTTACAGATAGATGACTCCCATGGAGGTTAAATGATTTGTGATGAACTTTTTAAATATTAAGGTCAAATATTTAGGCAAGTTGCTTTCATATGACACTACATAAGCATTGGTTAATAGTTCCCATCTATAGTTGCTGTGGTCAGCTGAACAGTCAGCTCGCTACTCATACATGCACTTTTGACCATGTTATGCCAAGATAAAGTTGGACATCGGGAGACGTGAGATGGAAGAGCTGAAGATCCTAGGTGCTAAGATAAAGAGCACCCACAGAACTGTTTCGTTGATGGCGGAGATGAGAATGAGCAACTGAACACTCTAGACGCGAACGCGGGAATTGACCATCAGACGAGAAAGATCGCCATCAAGTTACAGGCAGGGATGGCTCAGCAGTTACAAAACGCACATCACTGCGGGCAAGCGGCTTGCAGTGGGCTCTCATGCGATGTATAAATGTATCTTTGATGTGGATCGTTGCGGTGAGGCTGCAATATTGGTGCTGGGACAGGCCACTTTCTCTTGGCAATGATATCAGTCTTGTATATAGATATGCCAATATCCCATTGTGCTCTAATTCCTTTGATGATCAATCAGTAGCCGCCGGCGTCATATTGTGCGACTGGCATGACTTAGGCTGCGAGGACAGTGATTAACGGACTTGTAGGTGGTGCATTGTATTCCAACGTCTTGGAAGCTACGTTGCAGGACTCCGAGCTTCCAAGGTACCAAATGCCGAGTAATCCCCTTGATGTGTCCTTGCTTATCGAGACAGACCTAGACCGCAACAGGTCCTGGCTTGCTGAATAAGTCGGACGACATCAGAGTCACGCGCGCAGATGATGCTACAGCCCGGCCTAGTATGAAGCTGCACCATACTCTTTCACAATCCAATGGTAGTGGACCGATGAAGAAGGGTTCAAATTGATCGTCATGGGAGACATGGGGCTCTAACAGATCTCGTCATGGGGTTGGATGGAGCTACGCGGAGATTGTATCCGCAAGACGTGGACCTACACTACCCTTATCATGGGCACAACAAAAAGTATGAGCTTTCTGCCTGACCTTGGGCTCGTATTTGAGCCGTCTTCCAGGGTCAAAGTTCTGCTCCGGCTAATGCTGCCTCCTCCGGCGTGTCCACTTGCTGGCGCTGAGCGTGGCGTACGTGGTGACACGACAACGCCCAAGCTGCCATGAAGACACGAGAATAAGAAACGAGACAATGCCAATCGGCAAACAACTGAAAGAATATTACTCTGTCCACCTTTGACCGTTGTTCCTTGCTTATTTCGCTGTCGTGAGCCCCAAAGGTTTTGGACGCAATAGGCCCTGGGTGGGCACAAATGTGCACCGAATGGGGCAAGTCGGGTATAGTGCATGCAGCTTGGCTACTGAGCAAGAGGCGGGCATCGATAAGAATCACGTAGCCGTGTTGTGTTGTACATCTCGAATATGCTCCTCCACTCGAGAATACCCCCCCTCCCCCCAGTCTCTCAAGTCTGGGCGGCCTTAGCAGTTTGAGCACGCCTAAAAGCGGAAAGGAAAAGAATTAGCAGGGCCTACGAAGGACTGCATCATGAGGTAAGAAGCGGGATATGAAATTGATGGGCCGCCGATCAGCGCAAATATACTGGCGCCAGCAGCAGTAGTTTGGACGAAGAGTCACATTTGACAAGGAAGCGGTCACGTCGTACAGCGTGAACCAGGCAACCGTGACGGGGGAGGGCGCCGGGCCAGCACAAAAGTGCAAAGGTCCGGCGTTGCATTTGTGGGCGAGGCGGGATAAAGAGCAAATGTGGGAGCGGCCGGGAAAATCACGTCTTGACATGGGCTCGGGCTCAGGTGATGCGGCGTCGAGGCCGTATCGGAGGCAAGGAGGCGGGCGCGTGAAAAGGGACGAGGAGCAGAGGTGTGGGGGGGAGGACGGTTGAATAGGAGGGTTGGAGGGCTGCGTTGGCTGCTTTCTGGCTTTGAGGGATCGACATGATTATATGGTAGACATGTGCCGGGTTTTGTGTGAATGCGGCAACTGAGAAAAAAAAGCCCATGTGTTGAGAGGTGCTTTTTCGACTTATATCAGAATTCAGAATTGAGACATGTGGTTCCTGTGACCCGAGCCGGGGGGGTGGGGGGGTTATAATAAGACATGGACTTGACTCGGGTTGAGGATAATTTAGCGGCATATGCAAAGGCGAGAAGCGACTAGTACCGTGAAATCGGGAAGGGAGTGAACAGCGCAGTATTATATCGTATCGCAGAGTGAGGGGAGATATCGAGATTCCAATCGTTGTGTTGGTGGGATTTCTTCGAATTGGGGCAAATCTTGAGAGGCCGTGGCGGAAGGACGGATTTGTTGCCGTGCGCATTCCACCCTTGTTCTCCATTTCCTGTGCAATGACAGGCTAATTAACTAATTCGTAGTTAGCGGGAATCGAAAAGCAATCGTGCATGAGAGGAGCGGGCGGCTGTTGCTTTCTGCATGATGCATTGATGCTGCAGGCGGTGGCGGGCGGATAAGTTGGGTTGGGTCGGTTGGCCAAGTAAGTTGGTGACTAAGAAACTAGGTAGTTACTGGTGGTTTGCGGAGGTGAGAAGGTTGCAAAGGGGGGATGTGGAATTATCAAACAAGAAGTTGCCTCGATGGCTGATCAGGTGCTCAAACAGCTCAATCAGAGATGAACAAGCTCCACCTACGATTCCAAGCGCTTCGAGCATGACTGGGTGATGAATGCCGAGGGGGCAGTAAGCCAGCTGGACATGCAGACCGACGTGTATACATATATTGCAAATGGCGATGCGGCAAAAGACAGGTAAGAAATTGAATGTGCACGCTGTGGCTTGTATACCGCCTGTTTGCATGTATGCAGGCGTGCCTGATGCCGTCGATGCCCATTGCTGGCTGGGTACCTATTGATGGTTGCGGCGTGGAGCAGCTGAACAGCAACACAGTGCGGCCCGCAGCAAGACGGAGGAATAAGCAGGGTCCAAGTCACGTATATTGTCGTTTGAATGAATCTGTCCAACCATTTCGATGCACAGTGCGCTGGCGAGGGAGGGGGTGTATTTTAGCGGCGGGTTTCAATTGACAGCGCCAGTGTTGGCGAGTCGTGACAAGTTGCCCAACAAAGAGCAGCCTCGTGTCCCCGTAACAATGGGTACAAGTTGTGTCACTGCAGTGCTTTGTAACCGTCTTAAACGGGTCGGTTATTAATAAAAGTCCCAGCCGCCTGCTTCCTGGCAGGGGTGGTGCGTGCGTGCGATCCAACAACCTTGGCCATTGGCACGACCTCCTGCACGCCTTTTTGCTTTTTGATGACTTCAATAAAACGTGCAAAATATCTCGTTAGAATCAGAGAGAAGAAAATAGCAGCGTAATTTGTGCTGGGCACTGGCCGCCACCACCAAGTCAGGTTAGTACCGGTACACTTGACGCCCGAAAGCTGGGCCCCTGGTCTCCATAATATCCGTTGACGGTCCCTCCGTATCGTTGTCTGGCAATCTGCCTAGTGGCCTAGCTAAAGTGCCCAGTGAAGTGGCCAGTCATCCGCCACCGTTTGTCGTCGCCTTTCGCTCTTCTTCTTCCCTCTTTCAAAAACGAAGGCCACTTCTTTTCCTCTTCATACCACCTTTCTGTTGCTTTCCTTCTTGCAACTCAACCGTCTCTTCCTTGCATATCTTTCGACTCGGGCTTGTCTGCAACGACTGCACTCTCGCACACCAACCAAGCCTTGCTCGCGTACTACGTGCACACGACCACTCTGCTGCCTGCTGACCGATCACGGAACCGCAACTCGTCAATTGTCTACGACACCGATTCCACAAACAACCAACTTCTCAACCTCGACAGACACATTTGAACCATCTATCACTATACACGAGACCAGCATCATGGCGCCCAAAAAGATTCGTTGCAACGCCAAGGACTGCCGAGAAGCCGCCCAGCGCATCGTTGGCGACTGCGGCTTCTGTAATGGCCATTTCTGCGGCAAGCACCGCTTATTAGAAGATCACAAGTGCAGCGGCCTCGAAGACGTAAGTTGCTATCCTCCCCCTTTTCTCGCTTCTCTATTGTTTTGCCCCCTTTCCTCATACCGCTGGTTACCCCTACGATACACTCTGTCATGATGGAGAAGACCGGGGGTGTACAAGGACGCTAGCTCGACATTGCCCACTTGACCGGCGGCGCCGCAATAGGCCACCTCGGCTACGTCACTGCCTGTCACTCGCCATTCGGGATTGCAAAGAATGCTATGGATTCAAGAAACGCCGAATTATTGATGCTAACAACTTTTATGCAGTGCAAGAAGCAGTCTCACGAGCGCAATGCTGCCCAGCTCGAGTCGGAACGTACCCAAGTCATTCGCGGCGTCTAACGGCGTCTACCGGTCTCTCCCGATCATCACTCTCTACTTTCTCTCAACGGCGCGCGCCGTGGCACAAGCTCGCTCTTTTCCCAGCGGCTTTCTTTACCTCTTCCTTTCTCCTCCTCGACGACGATTTCCACGACATTTGCTAGCGACGAGAAGGAAATCCCTTTTCTGGTCGCATTTACTCGAGCAGTTTATTTCTGTTTCTTGGGCTACATGATTTTTTGTTCTGTGTATGGGACATGCGTCGGGCTCGCGCGTGGCGAGGCACGACGGCCCTCTTGTATTCTATCGGAGCTAGACCCCCATCGGTGGCATATGGAGTAATGGCTTATCATCGAGTTTTTAAAGACTTTTTTGTCTCTTGAAATTGCTGTCTCTTGAAATAAACCATGGTGGAATGCTATGCAGGTTGTTACTCGTATAATGCGGTGTGTGCGTGATTTGGGCATGCCTGCCGCTTTGGCGACGGCGGTGAAGACGAATGAACTGTGGCTTGCTCCGGCCGCATTGGCAAGAACGAATTTTTCTGCAGGGATGGCGTATGCAAACACAGATGCATGCCATCTGCCTGCGGGATCTATCAAGGCCAGCTGTCGCTGCCGTCGCGCGGCCCTTCATCATCAATGGTTGGCATGCGGTCCGCTGCTTGGCCTGCCTGCGAACAGCTGACTCGTGCAGTCATTGCGGCGAGTCGTCGGATGAAGAGCATGACGGCTGCATCGCCATTCACACCAAAAATAAAAAATAAAAATTGAATTGTCACATTGTGTAGTATGGGATTTCAGGTAAAAGATTTTAATCTGATCAGAGACTTGCTGCAGGCTACCAAGCTGCACATTGATTTCCGGCATCATTGGCATGTTCACAAGTTGATGCGGGCATAGGTGTGGCGAGAACGGGCGTTGCCAAAAACGGCGTCGCCGTACTCCGTAGATCGGACCCCGATGGGCGCCCTATTTGCTAATGTGACGGGCGTACGGATAACGCAGTAATGACTGTACTGGTAGTAATCAGGAATGGGCCTCCTCAACAGCAACCCCAGACCACATACTAACTATTAGCTTGACCAGTTAGTCTTTGGTGAGACTACGGAAACCTTCTTTGCGACAAGATAAGCAGATACACCAAGCGCCGTGGTCTTGATAAAGAACCAAGCTATTACGTCTGCCCGTCTGTTCCGTCCCAATCGGTGTGCAAGGTTCCGGGTCCCCTAGATAACCCTACGATGACGCCCGTCCTCGCATTCCACCAAGCATTGGCATAATCACAAGCAAAAATTTGGCAATCGCACGTAGCTTACATTGGCCCACTGACAACGTACCCGCGGCCATCCGAACGCGTTCCGATAGCTGGTGCTCGGCTGGGTCGTCATGACCCTTTCCCTGGGTTTGGAAATTTATCCTGTTTGCCTGGCTATTGCCGGCAAACGTGGCCGTTTTCCTGTAGAAGCTTGCGGCGCCACCAAAACTTCATGCTGGTTCCCCGTAACTTGCCTTCCTGACTGCTCGAGACACTGTGAAAACGTCAGCTGCCAGACCTGTTTGACGAATTGTGGCGTTTTGCTAACAAGACTAGTACAGCGGCCGGCTGTCGCGTTCACTTATACGAACAAGTCCAACATGCCACCAACACGCAGAACAAAATAACTCATCTAAATCAACAAGTAGTATTCATATTTGATACCTGTGCGTACTATGCTTGTGATAACCGGCTACGCTCGTAATCACTTCGTGCCCATTTTACCATCCAGTCGCATTCCAGAACTTGCTGCACCGTATAGCGCTCCTCGGGTCTGTACTTCAGCATTCTCTTCATCATGTCCAAGAACGCAGCCTCTTCCTCGACACATAGCTCCACCATGTTGGCCTCTCCGCGAAATTTCTGGACCCGGTTTCGAAAAGCTTGCCCTATTTCTGGCCATACATGGCGACTTTCTTTCGGTTGCCCATCGCGATCAAAAAACTCATCGCGATCCTTCCAATTCTCATACCAGTGATCAGGAAGTGGCCCTATAATATCGACAATTTGGCACATGACTTGCTTATCTGAGTAGAAGGCGCTGCTAAAGAGAGCCCGCATCCCTACTATATCCCATATTGCGGTCGCGAGGCTCCAGATGTCTGCAGAAAAGGATAAAGGTGTATCCGGTTCAAAATGGGCCTCCGGGGGCCGGAAGTCTACAGGCGTATGGCAGTTTTTGCCTAGGCGAACGTCTGTGCCTGGCGAATATGACTCTCCAAAGTCACTCAAGATTATTCGTGCATCCCGCAACGTAAACTCTTTAGCCTTCTTTCCCATGTACAGTGGTACTGTAACAATCGACGGCACATTCGGGGTCAGCGGTTGGCCATCACGGCGCTCAACTTTGTATGACTCCGGTTCGCCATATTCTTTACGAAACTGCGGGATGGATACTTTATCAATGCTGCTTTGTGAGTGTACTAGTATGTTGCGGAGATGGATGTCTGATATGAATCATTAGCCGGACAGCGCCCGAGCTTCAACGATGTAATGTTGGCTCTCACCTCCGTGAACGAAGTTTTGTGAATGAACGTAAGCGACGGCGAGAACCAGCTCATAGGCCATAGCACGGGCAACGTCGAGATAAAATAACCGACTAGATGAGCACTCCCTCAGGTTGCAGAGGGCAAGGGCAGTAGTGTAGCAGGGATGCGAGCCATTGGGGCCACTGACGGTGAACTCGTCCAGCAAATGTGGTATGCTATCAAATCCTAGGTTTTGGGCTTTTGGCTGCGCACTGAGAGCCCGAAGAATCAGTACTTCACGTGGCAGAGAGTCTGCAATGCCCACTTTCAACGCAAGATAGCGCTGCTTGTGGGAGTCGTGAACAAGCCAGACAGTCGACCAACCTCCGTAACCTAGTTTGTCGATAACTACATATCGATTATGTATCCTATCGCCAACTAGAACGGGATGAAAGCCTCCCGGTGTGTACTTGTCTAGACGCTCTACCCTGTCAACAAAGCCATCATCAACTAGGGCGGAATAGTTTCGCCTCAGTGGTGGCCTCTGCCGCGAAGAGAATGGCGGTCGAGCGTCAGGCGGACCCAGGCGTAAAGCGGGGGATATCAGTGACGCAAGAGAGATGCATAGGGAAGCCCTTTGAAGAGAACAGTATCCCCGTGGGAGCATCTGGTCCGATTGCTACAATTTTGTTCAGTGTAGGGTTGTTGCGTCTTGCCAACAGCTGTGCATGAAACACAACACAGCACCTGGAAAGGCGCAATGTTTGTATCGAGATCATTCGGAACATCACCTCAGCGACGGAGCCAGGGCGCTCTCTCACTAGCTCC